CTCATCACTCTATAAAAGTAATTTACCAAGGATAATTTTTTAAAAGTTAATTTTAGCAGAAAGTTAATAGACTTCTGTCTTCTTATAAATAATAATCATACAATATTTATATACTAATTAAGCATCCAGCTGCCAGGGAATTCAACTTCAAAATAATAAAACACGGCTGAATCTAAACACAAAGGGATTTTGCGACCATTGTAATTAGGAATATGATCCAAATGGAGCTTTTCCTTATTTACCTATGCGCTTTCTAAAAACGCATTTTATCTTAAATATGCATCTACGCGAATTCATAAATTATGGAAAAACCTACGCTCTGTCATTGTGCATTATGTATTTTTATTACGGATAAAGATGGCAGTGAAGTGCTTGAGGGAAGACATATGTGAAATTAGCAAACCTGGCATAAATTATCATTTTCTAATGAGAGAGAGAGAGAGAAAGAGAAAGAGAGATAAAATCTTATGTCTAAATTCGAAGTACTACCATCACCTAATATTTACATAAGATGATGTGTAGATGCCTTTGAAAGAAATTCTCTAAAAGTTTGAATTAAGTTTATACTACAAATGATGGTTAATAATGTAAAAGTCGATGCCAATTTCTGTGTATTATAATGAAAAAATGTAAATAATTGTGCTTCATGAAATATGCCTTTTTGAAATGTATCAGATCAAATCTTCGTCAAATTTAATAAAAAGTGAAATACATTTTTTACATAAAGAAAAATAATCAAACAATTTAACAAACAGTGAAAGAACATTCAGAACTTGAACAGTATTAAAAATGTCACCACGTCCTACTTGTGAGGTCTTTCAAAAGTTGTTGAGTTATGAATTTAGTTTTGCAATATTCATTTCCCTAAAATTCCACAATAGGTCAAAGATAAGATTAACACGGTAAAATTCGAGCCATTTCTTTGTTATTTCGCCTTGCTGTTTATCCTGCCATAGGCCTATGCGATCATTTGTAGATGTTTATCGAATTCCGTTTTGTAAGTTAATACCATAACGCTCGCTTCCCTGTCGTTCCAGAAAGCCGTTTAAACTTTTCAGTCCTTCTCCCGGTCGATTGTTTAGACGGGTAGATCATTTGAAAGACCTTCACAATTTGCCCTGCAATTTTTCAGTTTATCATAGCGTAGACAATTTGGTCTGACACATGAGACTATGGCGAGTTCCGGCCGGTCCAGAATTTTTGGTGGCGACACTCGGAACAGAATACAATGGACTTATCGGACATAGATCTAGATCTCCCCGGCTAAAGGACCAGCTACTTCAACGGCGATCACATACGAGGGCCATTTAAAGTACACAGGAAACAAAAGGCTTGATGGAATTAAATGTAGATCTCAGGGTTCGCCGTGTGTCATTGATTTTAATAGAGTGCATTCTAAACTCTCTCTCTCTCTCTCTCTCTCTCTGTGTGTGTGTATGTATGTGTTAAGTTGTTTATAAAGTTATCTCATACAATCGGATGAAATTTAACAGACACCTATATCTATACAGCAGCAAAACACGCAAATAAATAATTGAGTCATCATATTAAAAGATCTTTTTAAAAAAAAATACATAAATTTGAATATCTGTATTGAGATGAGAGATAGAAGACCGTAAATACTACACAATGTCACGGTTTGTAGGTCTCTATTTCTATACGACACTCCAATCAAACATTAAAAGGTTTAAAAAGGAATGTTCTTGCTCTACATACATGAAGTTAAATGCTTTTAATACAAAGATCAGTTCAGGCAAAACCGTGAAATTTACAGCCTCGTTTTCTAATATGTGTTTCATATTGTCAAATCTGACGCTTGCTTTCGTGTTTATTTTCACCATATAGATGTGTGGGTGAGTGGAAAGAGGAGGGGGGGGGTATAAAAATCACAGAAAGTGAATTAATATTTTTTATTTTATTTTTGTGCATTTAATAATTAATGCTTAATAGTGTTTGAATAAAGGTAGAGGAATAATGTGACACACCACCTTATTTTTCTTCTCTTTAGATTTGACCGCCATACAACTGATGATCCCCGGCAGTTAGGGGTTATTTCCCTTATGTTATATAGGTACCATTAAACTTTCTGAATGCATTCACAGTTTCTTTTTCTAAAAGAAATTTAGCTTTACATTCAACATTTTTTTGTAATTTTTTTAGGTGTTTAAATACTTCTATACGAATATTAAAAAATCCGTACATATTTATTTTTATTGCAAAGTAAGAAACTTTGAAACTTTCTTTTCGATTATTGCATTTATTTTTTTTTTTTCCTTTTTTCTCTTGGTATATCAACTAATTCTTACAACTAAAATATTTTTTAACACTTTAATTATACCCAGGCTTGTCTTTCTCAGCGAGTTTACCAATTTGTCAAAAATACCTTTAAAAGTTCAGCAGACTTTTCCCCTCTAATTTCTGTATCTTGGCTTGTACGATTATCTCCAGGATATTTCTGTAATTTCCTTTCTCTTGGAAACTAACACAGGGGATAAAAACTGGTTAGAAATGATGTTTATTAAACATTTAAAATGAACATCAGTTTTCCGTAAATTTGTATAATTTACCGCGAAGTCTGCAAACTTCACGCACGCTCACTTTTCCTCCATTCCCTCCTCGAGATGAAAGCCCCTCTCACCACTGCGCGCTTAAAGAGACGAGAGCCGGGATGAATGTGTATCTAATTCACCCCGGAAATTATCAAATATTATTAAACGTCAGATAATGAGTTTTGGGGAGAGATGAGAGAAAAGCCGTGAGTGAGAACTCTACGTCTGTGTTAAATATTTGAATTTTTATGGTCGTTGCGACTCATGAGGCTAGCTATTTTGGTATAAAGACATGTACTGGAGATTAATATATAAAGATGCTTCATTAAGGAAAAAGAAGCACAGATTAGATTTTTTTTCTTTCGTTCTGATTAAATCTATCTATACAGACATTCGAGTTGGAAATGAAACGAGAAATCACATCAGAACTATAAAGAAAGACAGAGTTGCATATTGATTCTGATGATGTCTGCAGAGTGCCAATGCTTGCAGAGCCTTTTTTTATTGTGCTAGTTGTGTGTTCGCCTTGATTATGAGCGATTTATCATTAGTGATCTGCTAATTAAACTAAAGACTACGGCGTCGAGTAGACGAGGTCTTGTAGAACCCGGTCCGGAGAAACACACTCCGTTCATGTCGAGTCGATAGTTGGGCTCCTCCACACATTGAGAGCTCGCGTTTGAGAGCTTATTAATATTTTTTATACATCCCTTCTCTACTCTAAGCTTTCGTTTGTGTAATGCTTTATAAATAATTTAAAGAGGAGATGCTACTTGAATGGCATTTTCTCCCTCTCTCTCTAAATGTTTTTGGAGTCAGAATTTGTCGTTTCAGAAAGGGTAATTTTCTCTCTACATTATTCAAGCTGTAGGCTTGATGTGAGAAGTTTGATTTCATTTAGATTTTAGTCAGTACTAGAAAGTAAAGTCATTCATTTTTCCACGACAAACTGGATTAATTTCTTATAATCTCTCTCACATTATATAAAGTTTATGAGTAAGATGAAGTATAATGCTTTTGCATATTGGTGCGAAAAACGTGATCTTCTTTCGTCGCTCTTTCCTCGACACAAACATTTCTGTAATGGTCGACAGAAAGACTTCAAGTCGTTGGAAATGGAGATCAAACCCTTCCTACACACTGTATCTATTAATTCCACATTCGATACTAAAGCACGCAAAATTCATAACAAACAAACTGACATGTCTTATGTATATACAAACAAGAACGTTAACCTGCTAGCGGGATGCGATTTCCAACAGCTGACTCTAGAATAAAGTAAACACACAACACAACGATTCCAGCCCAGTATCGTATAGCCTTTTTCTTGTATACAATAATAGATGACAAGGAGTAAAATTAAGTGTACGATTTTGTGTGTTTAAGTTTTTTCCTGACAAATTTAAATTCGAAAGAAACATATTTAATTTTAAAAAAAATTCGGCATTCTTCTAAATTCTCTACAGCAGATGTAGATTTTATTTTTAAGTAAGTTTAAACTTTTATTTATGACATGATATTGGGTTATTATTTTTTTTTCTATAAATAAATCTTGACTGTTTGATATAACTTTTTTAAAAAATAAAAAAATAAAATTATAGACAGAGGTTATTTTTTTCAGTAAAGATTCGTAATGAGCTGATAAATCTACCCCACAAGATGTTTTCCCTCCAATATACCCCGTTGTAATAGATATATTTGCTTAAGCTAAAAATCACTTTCACTTAAGTCTATAATCCAATCACTCTACCGATATAAGAGGCCCCTAAACAACTAAACGGTGAACAATCGAGGAGGAGACAGCGCCTTTATGACCGTTACAAACGTCTCAGCGGGGATTCATTTCGCTCTGTTAAGTAAATAAACAATATTTACCGATTTCATTGATGAAAAAATCACCACTTGAGCACCATGATCCGCCCATAACATTCAACGTAAAAAAAAAGTTTCATTGTTTGCTGTACGGAAATATTTAATTGTTAATGAAGGTTGCACTTCATAATCATTTTCAAGGATTTTTTTTTTTATTATTCCAAGGTTCAATAATGTACTTTATGGGGCAGAATGAAGACTCCCGTCTTAAAAACTACATTTAATAAAGTCATGATTTCTATTGTCCTCTGGTATAATGTTCGCAAAGGAGACAATGCTTTAAAACAATGTGTCGCCAGTGATGAATGGGGCAAAATGACACATCAAAAAAAAAAATGTCAAGCCCAACCATTCGTACCTAGGAATAAATAATACATAAAATATCTTATACATGACCAAGCCACCGGTCTCTTAAGGCCAAATAGGGTTAAGGTGGGGAGACATTTGACGTTTTTCACTGTCCGATGTAAATTGACTATGTGGACTGACTTCGCGATGCGAGATATTCCCCTTACGACTGACAGTCTTTTTATTTCAGGTATTTATACACAAAATGTTTATATACAATAAATATCTTACCTGTGGTATATTTCAGTAAAATTCCCAATAAGTAGAGAAAGAATGAAGAATAGGAGTACAGGTTCATCTTCTATCGGTAAAATTCCCTCTACACATAAGAAAACCAGACTCCAGCACGTGTATAGATGTATATTTCTCGTTCGTTATGTTACGTTCATGAGGAAATACACACAGTGACGTGTATCACATTGTCTTAGTAAAACAATAACATGTCACTCTCCAGTAACGGCAGTCCCAGAAAATTATGCAAATGAAGATGCTCGTTAATTGCTATTAATTAGCATTCTGGGGGGAATTAAACTATATTCCGACTTGTTTTATCGCACGGTAATGTTATAAGAATCCATTCTTTTTGACTGTGTTCGCCAGGTTAAAATCTTTCTCGCGGGATTGAGAATACGTACAGTGATTTTGATAGAGACTTGAGATAAGGGAATTTCCTTGTCGCTGATTGGTTAAGCCTTCTGTTCCCTTCATTACCTCATAAAATAAATACATGCCCCCGTGTTTACAATTAGTTACGGCAAGACAGAAATATTTTTGCTTTTTGACGAGTACCCGATCATTTTTAAATCGTCTACATATTTCTCTCTTTCAACAAAAACGTACTCATTGGCTCAACAGGCGAACGCTATTTTATTCCCCTCTCCAATGTGTCTTTTCTTTTTTGTTTTTCCTGTTTCTTAAAAACAACTGCCGAATAAAATACTTCTTAAAAATGATACAGAAGAATGGTTAGATTCCGTAAGGTTAGAAAAAGCGTGTTGAGTTGCAACTCATCACCTGCAAAGATAAACAGAAAGAAAATAGAGAGAGAAAAAAAAACCCTTTATAACAAGAGAACTACCCTCGAGTCAAATTTGTTTTAATTCTTTTAAAATGTAATTCAGGGCGTTTATTGCCTCTATATACGAGATAAAAGAATGGGTGATAGGAACCTGAAAAGATAACAGAATTCAGATGCTTCATTAATATACCGCGCTACCATGTATCAGCTTTTATCAAAGGAATTATGACATTGAAAAACTACACAAGGCTTCGGCAAGGTTTTTATGTACGTGAACACACGCCGTAACACAATTTATATGTAATATTTATTGCAAGTAAAGATTTTTCGACGATCGAAACCATTTAAGAGGAGTTGACGTAGAAGAAGATGATCATGTTGATGAAGATGATAATGTGTTGAGGAGAAGATCAAGATTTTGATGAAGATGATCATATTCATGAGAAGATTAAGATATTATTGAAGATGATTATATTGATGAAGATGATAATGTTGATGATGAAATGTTGATGAAAAGATTACGAAATTGATGAAGATGATCATGTTGATGAAGATGATGACGTTGAAGATGATAATGTTGATGAAGATGATAATGTTGATGAAGATGTTAATTTCAAATGGTAAAAAATACTTGATTATCTGAAAATACCTATATGACTCACCTGAAAATTCTCTCTCTCTCTCTCTCTCTCGTGGTCCTAATCAAAAGCAGCGCCATCAGTTTCCTCCTTGATTAAATTATAATACCCCGAGTCTTAATCAATCAACTAAACTCTGCGAGCAGGTATTAAAAAAAATTACAGAACTGGCACTTTGTGCTCGACACGGGTTACTAACAGCAAATAACCTTATGTACTATTAGAAAATATTTGCAGTAAAAATGAAGCATCATTCAGGCTAGATTCATTCAGGCAGGGGAACTCGGTGAGGTAGCAGTTATAGCGTATCTGAAACTGGTGAAGACGCCTGGTGCCAAGACAAAGGGAAAGACTTGACCAATTATTATAACGACGGTCTCTATTATTCTACACTTCGATAATGTAGGATTGGTGAAACAATTTGCTTTATAATTTGTTTTTATCGAAAAAAAGAACAATTATAATGTACTGAATAATGTGAATATATTTCTTAGGTCTGAATCAAAAGATAATCACTTGTCCTGGGCTTTTTGTGACAAAATATTCTGACTTTGTCCATTTTGACATGAATTGTGAAGTATTTTGATTGCTAGTTGTTAAAAGATATTTATACCTCGTGTTTTAAATTTTAATTCACAGGTTGGAGTATGCATGTACTAAATTTACAACAGGATGATATCTTCATCGCATTCTATGCTACCGATTCCACAATATAGCAAGGAATTTTTATGGAAATTGCGTACAATCTATTTTCAAATACTGAAGTACAAATCCGATCTCTGTGACATTGAGGCTAACAAAATAAATTTTGTTTAAGGTCAAGAAGTGCCATTTGATGAAGGTCAAAATGTATATATCATACACAATCCACATTAAAACTACACTCACTATTAACACACATTGGCTGTGTCGGTTTATATATGAGTCGTAAATATAAAATATTAGTGCTGATTTTTACAAACCATAATTAACTTATATCTTTTTTAACTATTGCATGCAAGAGATATCATATCCGAGAATAATCACGATCTAAAATTCACAATTTAGATAATATGCTTGAAAGAAAAAAAACGGTGGGGGGGGGGGGTCACAAGCATTGCATAACATGTTTTGAAAAAAGCTTTTTATTCCAAAGAAATTCATTCAGAAAAGGAGTTTCCAATATTGAATCACTGCTTGTGACGTGAAAGTTTCGCAAGGATGACGGACTGCAGCATTCTTCACAAATACAAACCAATTACAATTAACAACAGAAACATAGAGATATCCTTTAAATAGCATATTACCGCCATATCATTGACCCCCTTCCATCATCTCATTTCCTTTATACAACATTCTATTACTCTTTTATCACTTTTCCTTTTACCCTCTATACATCAATCTTTCTATACCATGTCATTGTCTTTTTACCACCACCTTTCTATACTATGTCATTGTCTTTTTACCACCACCTTTTTGTACCACCATATCATTGTCTTTTTACCACCACCTTTTTATACCATGTCATTGTCTTTTTACCACCATCTTTTTATACCATGTCATTGTCTTTTTACCACCATCTTTTTATACCATGTCATTGTCTTTTTCCACCACCTTTATATACCATGTCATTGTCTTTTTACCACCATCTTTTTATACCATGTCATTGTCTCTTTACCACCCTCTTTTATACCATGTCATTGTCTTTTTACCACCATCTTTTTACCACCGTGCCATTGTCTTTTTTACCATCATCTTTACAACCATGTCATTTCCTATTTACAAATTCTCATTGCACATTTACCACCGTCCCATTGCCGTGTGTCACCTTTCATTACTCGAAAATATGTTACCAACACAAATTTGTCCTTTTGCCCCCTCATTTTTATTTTTAAAATCTCATTGCACATTTACCACTTTCTCATTTCATTTTTACCACTTTCTCATTTCTCTCTTACCACCATCTCAATTCAGTTTTACCACCTTCTCATTGCCCATACCTGTATATGTACCTTACCGTCCTTTTACCATTATTTCATTGTACTTTGACCATGGAAATATCGTCAAATTTACAACAAAAGCTCATAAGATAGCTTTGATGAGTAATACACTTATGTCAAAATCTTTGTTTCCCGGTAACCAAATCTTTTTAAGCCAACATTGTTTTTCTTTCAGTAGAGGGGATCTCTGATTTACCCAAATATTCATGAGCACTATATTTTCAACCAATAAAATTTGATATAGGTTATTTGCTTAATCGTGCTTATCCGCAACTTTACTTGTTTGTCTTCAACATGTTATGGATAGCAGTTGTTATTGTTTGTTTGTTTTAGATCAATTTATTTGTCTTCACCTATGCACGGATTAACAAGAGGTGACTGAGGGAAGAGGATTGGAAGCAGGCCAATGAAGAGGAAAGAGGGCTGAGGGAGGGAGAGGGGTACCCCCCCCCCCCCGTAACCTCTTATGTTCAAATCGTAATACAAGAAGTTATTAACATCTTTGCAAGGGAAATATGGGAGGTCAAGCGCTCCACACAAGAGCCTCATTTATTATTAATTATTTTTTTTAATTATGACCCAAATACTTGCATCTTAATAGGACTTGTAGAGCAGGTTTAGGTTTAGAGAAAAACAAAAGTATGTTAAAGAATTTTTGGAATTTTATAGACATGAATAATATTTATGAATACCATTTTTCATGAAACATTCCACGAGTGAAATAATATATAAGATTCTTTAATAATTGCTAGTTCACATTCTGTTAAATTTTACGTTTTGTCAACTGAAGATTTGTGTTAAACACTCACCGAAACTCTGACCTTGACATTTGACCCTAGTATCAGAACGTGTCTTTTTCATGACAGTATTTGTATCAGACGGATGGGGGATATTACAACTTCAAATTGTGTCCAAAATTTGTTGATACATAACACGACCTTTGATCTTTGACCTTTTGACCCCAAATCAATAGGATTATTTCCCTTGTCACCCTCCTCTTCTGAGAGAGGTCCTTGTGTATTAGTTGACAAGTACTGTCCTGTCTGTTTAAGTACGCTCAAACCCATCAACAAAAAAGTAAATTTCATTGTCAATTAAATTTGTTTGATGTAAAGGATGTACTTTACAATACTCAAAGCATCCCTTTAGCAGGTTCTTTAATCCAATTCTACACTTGGACAGTGTAGTGTTATGCCTGTGGGACAATTAAGGCTAACAGTATCTGCTTAATTTAAAAAAAAAACAGATCTGGGACGCAGATCAATAACAGCATGGTAAGGCATTTGTCTGAAATGGCAACAGAAATTAAGCACCCGTCCCCACCCCACCCCCCAAAAAGATAGAGGACCATCTCGAATGTTTTGTTTTTCACAATATGTCTAACTACTTGCCAAAGTGTAATATTTCTAGATGTAAGGAATATTTATTTTGTAATTGAATACATACCTTATGCAGAGAAAACAAATGTATCATTTCTTGGTATTCTCTGTGAGAAAAATGACGTGTTCTCTCTGTTAATATTTGTTATGAAAATATGATGCTGACCTTAATTAATGATATACCATGTAAGGTTTTTCCAGGTACATACATTGTTCACATTGCTCTTTGCTGAGTGATAAACCTGCCTTCAGCTGAGAGATTTCAATAGTACAGGCCAAAGAACCCTTGAAATCGCCATAATTCTTTATTTCTATCACTGGATACTTCGGGTTCTGTAAAATTATAGAGGACACTTGAAGTTGACGGGTTCCGAGATCCGAGTGGTTGCCTGACTGGCTGGGAACACCTCTAGACAGAAAGAGGAAATTACTCACACTCCTGGTCAACTAACAGCTACTGAAATGATGCCTCAGGCGCGGATCCAGGATTATGCGTTAGAGAGGGCGCTGTTAGATGGCGAGGGATTGGGTACCGCCGAAACCCATTCTGGTTGGACAGTGTCGAACCCCCGTAACCTCGATCATGAGAATCAGCAACTAGAGAAACTGTATTACCTTC